GTCAGGGATCAAGGGGCAGGTCGGGGAGTGGCTCCTTTCACTGTCAGACCTAATAAATAACATACTGGCAGGATTCTTGTTTCCTATTTCTAAACATTCTCTCTTCTGGTTTGGAGTTCTGATTCCAGAGGGAAACACAACGGTGGCTCTAACAAACTGGAAATTAAGACTGCCACACTGTATGACATCTCATGAGCCAACAGGAGGAGGGGGGGTTACTCCTCTGAGCCAACAGGAGGAGGGGGGGTTACTCCTCTCTGTAGGATGAATTATCCTGATTGCTGGGGGGAATTGGGTTTGTGCTACATAGTGGGATGAGGAAAGCTATGTCTAGAATCCAGGGATTCTCTTGAGTACCTCTTACAACTTCCAAGTCCAATAGTAAAAGTTAATGTGAAAAAATAGTTTACAATAACAACAAAAAGGCAGGCCTACTGAGGATTCAGACCCTGCATGAATGAAGATTTGGGCCACCCCAAGAGGCGAAGAGCTGTGACCAGCTGAGGCCTGGGTGTGGGCGAAGGAGAAACAGAATGGGTAGAGGAAGAAGGAATTTATGGATATCAACTATGGCTTCATGACTAGTCTCAGAAATGAGGACTACAGCACCTATGCATCTTTTCTTCCTTGGTTGTTGTGCGTGTGTGTGTACCTGTGTATGTATTAACTGTTATTTTCTTTTTGGCCTCCTTTCTCCTTATTATTTTATACAAGTTTGTTGGAAGTTATTTTATAATTTAGTCGTTAGGTAACAGGATATTCAGATGGGACTGTGCCTGAATTTGAGCAGTATTTCACACAGCCCGGGGATATCTACTATGAGTGTCGGTCTTAGTCCTCATTTTAGGGTGAGAGTAGGAACATCTTCCTTTGTATGAAGGATATTTGCATCTTATTTGGTGAGGATGTAGACTCGTTTTGTGTTGTATTGAGGTTCATAAATGTGTAGAGCAATGTGTATGGTCGTTGAGTAGCCTGAGAGATGGACTGTGCCAGGTAAGTTATTGTGTCTCAGCTTCAAACCTGCCTTTCCATACTGGCTGATGGATGCTGGCACCTGAATGCTGCAAACTGTATTTTAGCTTGGCCAGCTGGCTTGGCCTCTCTCACTAAGGGCCCTCAGGGAGCTTGGAAAACTGGAGGAGAAAGGAGCTCTTTTCGTCTACTTCCGGTGTCCTGTCTGCTTCCTATCTGTGTCCTGGTTACTTTCTCTGTGAGTCATCCCAGCAGGCTCCTTCACCCCAGCAGTGGCAGTTCATTCCACAGCAGCAGCCAAGTTAGTTTTTACACGTGCAGGATCATCCTAAGCATAATTTTTTGAGAAGCCCAGACGCAGGTGGAGAGTAGCAGGTAGCAAGTCCTGGGTTGTTGAAGGGTGTCTGTGTGACCTCCTCAGAGGCTGTCAGGTGGGGCTTTGAGAAGCCCAAGGTATTCCAGGTGTTAGAGTGCTCTCCGAAAAGGAGGGTCACCATTGGTGGCATGGTTATTTTTTTTCTTTTAAAAAAGAACAGTGGTATAAATTGAACATTTATTTTTAATTTACCTTTGACGTTGGTATTAAAGGGGAACAGCTGTTATTAGGTTAGTAGGAGTAGATAGTGCTGTCTTTTGAGTTTCCGTAAAGTCTTCTGTGTGCTTTGAAAGGTTTCAGAACTTGATGCCATTATTATCTTATCGTATCTAATTTCACTTCAAAATTTCAGTTTTTCCCTAGGCATAAGGAGTTATCAGTACTGTTCCTGTAACTCTCAGACACGTTTGATACTGACTTGATCCACAAATTGGATGTGGCATCTGGATCATATGGTAGTTCTATTTTTGATTTTTTGAGGATCCTCTGTACTGTTTGCCCTTGCGGCTGTACCAATTTGCATTCCCACCGGTAGTGCACAAGGGCTCCCTTTTCTCCACATCCCCACCATTTATTATCTCTTGTCTTTTTGATAATAGCCATTCTAACAGGCATGAGGCGATAGCTCATTGTGCTTTTAACTTGTATTTCCCTAATGACTGGTGACATTGAGCATCTTTTCAGATACCTGTTAGCCTTTTGTATATCTTCTTTGGAAAGATGTCTGTTCAGGTCCTTTGCCCATTTGAGGTATGGTTAATTTGTGCTCGTGTTCTTATCACCTCTCAGCCACAGTTCCCGTCCCAGAGCAGAGCTCAGATGCCTTGCAGGCATCTGAAATAATGCAATTGGATCTGCGTCTTGTTAGATTTAGATTTGGTATTTCAGTAGGCTGCATTCTCAGTTCTGGACAGCAGAGGGTGCGCTGAGACCTAACCCATCCTGCTCATAGGGTAGGGCAATCAGAAAAGGTACCAGGGCAAACTGAGG